GTACAGTCGACGGTACTGTAACTTTCAAGCCTTAACACGTTCATTGCCGTTCACGCGATATCGCGTGTTGCGGCCCCTCACTAAACGGCCGTTCACGCGATTGTTTTTTATGATGAGTGACAAACCAGGACCCTCGAAAAGACTCAGTTCAATGCCAGATCGTGCAAAAAAACGACTAAAAATAAATAAAAGAAAAAATAACTTTAGTCACCACACGAAATTCAAATTTTCAGTTTGGCAATGAACGTGTTAACTCGAAAAATATTTAATAAAACAATACTTTATTATAGTATTTTGAAAAAGTCTCAAAATAAGCTACAAGAATATGAAATAAAAATTGGGGGTTTCCATTTAAGAAATTTAAGGTGATCTTGATATAATCTCCAAACGACTATCCAAGGTCAAACCAAGGACATCATCTTGAGTCGCCCTTGAAGTCATGAAACTACGAAACATTTTTCGATACAAGCTTTTCCAGAAAAATCAATACGTCGCTTAAAATGACCCTATATATTCGATCTGAACTGAACAATAACACACTGGATTCACACTGAACAAGCGGATTCACACTTTGGCAGAAAAGAAGAAAGCAGAACAGCCAAGAGAGTGACAGAGAGAGAGAGAAACTCTTGCAAGAGAAAGACATGTCAATGCGACTTTTGACTGGATGCTGCCTTTCCGCTTTCTGCTTTCCTGCCAAGGTGTGAGTCCGCCCTTATCTATGAAAGAGCGACGGAATTAATTAGTTACCTGTATAAAAGAGAGAAAAGTTTTCGAATGAATAAGGAAATAACAATCGAGAGGTGTGAACGTGCTTGCAATAGAGGAAAGAAATCGCATGTTATATGAGCTTTCTTCTTTTCGCACAGTTTTCAGGGATTCTCGTGTGAGATTGATAATTACCCTTGGATTACTCGGAATGTGTTGTTTAATGTCGTGCATGATAATATACAATAAAAAAATTCGTCGCCATGTTTTGATACAAGATCTATAACTCGCGCGATGCGTCTTCTTTTTGCGTGCCGCTCATAAACGTCAGGCGTGGCTGCGGATCCGCGTTACAAACGTACGACCGACTGTAACTTTATTACCTTCCTGCATGCGCTGCGTACAGGATATCCAAGGACGACGGACAATCCATTTTTCGAGGGGCGGACTTTTCGGCGAATTAGACAAAAGGCGGGACAATATTCAATAAATGGGGAAATATTCAACAAATGTCGCGTCAAGCGCGCCTGTATATGTGCATATATGTGTGTGTGTGTGTGTGTGTGTGCGTATGCGTGCGTAATTAAACAAAATCAGAAAAATTCAATATCGACAAGCGACCGATTTATTATTGTCCGGTTGACGCACGTGAGGCACGTGTCGCGCGCTCGGTGCCAGCGGATATTTCTTCTGATGCAATAAAAGGATTCTGCAAAACCAAACATCAACGAATCGCCGAATCGCCGAATCGCCGAGCTAATACGCTACCAAATTGCATCGCACGCTTTTCATATGAACGAATTCACCGGACGGCTTTATTCCATCATCGACGAATGAGAAAGAAAAGGGGAAAAAAGAAAAGGGGAAATCAACGACCGAGCGATTCTCGATAGTGTATTCGAAGCAAATATCGCTTTCAAACGGGGCTCGCGCGCAAGATAAATGGCCCAAGTTTTAATAACATCCAAATAGCGGGCCGGTGTCCACGGGGAAAATCCAAATTTATGAACCTCTCTCCGGAAGGATTTAATTTATTTAAATTTCAGACCGGTAAGCCAGCTTTTATAATCTTGATTTACCACACGGCTTTTCTCTTGTTACACGTGCGCGCTCTCGCGCGCGCGCACTTACTCGCTAAGCTTCAAGCGAGCTGTTGTCGCGCGCGTATGATACGGGACTTTTGCTCGCGCCGGGAAAAACCGATAAGCCGCGCGAAATGTTTCGTATACACGCCGTGTGCGAAAAATCTGATTAGGGGAAAACGGAGTGCGGGCGGGGAGGGGGGAGCGGAGCGCTGTTCCCAGACTCGCAAGATTCTGTATGATCGCGGTAAACCCGGTAACGTCTTTTATTGTATCATCTTTCTATGCTAATTAATTTAAACAACTTTTGTTGGAAACATTTTTATTTGCCTAATATTTTTTGAGATATTTAAGAGAAACTAGACACAGATTTTTTTAATATTTGACAACTACGACATTTCGGTAACTATTTGTCGGAAGAAAAAGTGGTACCAGGACTTTTTTACTCTAGTTGCCGAGTTTCCCTTAAATATTCCAAAAAATATTACGCAAATGAAAAATGTTTCAAACAAAACTAATCCGGCTAATGATATCGGAACTCGCCGCGACGAGTGCCGACGCTGAATCATCGACACTACACGCGAGTCGCGAACAAAATCCGCGTCTCACCGCAGCCCGGCATTTTCCGGCGAGTCCGTTTCGCGGCTCGCGAAAAGGACGCGCGATGTAATCAGGGGCCGCGATTTTTCCCGCGAGCCTCCGGTTTCAGCCTGATTTGCCTGATCTATCGGCGCTTCCCAGCGGCTGATGTTCAAGACACTGGGCGACCGGCTTTTCTGAACGGAGCAAGGCGCGCTCGCGCACAGCGTGGCTGTAATAAAAAGCTCTTAACGGTATAGATCGCGGAGTTATCTGAAAACTTCCACGATCGGGTCGTAGTTCAAGCACGGGGAAAACATGCCTCGAGCATAAAGCCATTAATCACCGAAGTGGAAGGAGGCGCACCGATGACTGATGAGATACTTAACTTAACTCGCATCTAGGTGGGTTGAAGATCACTAACGCTCGACAGGAAGAACCAATCGACCGAGTTTCCACCGTCGTCGGCGCTCGCGCTCGCATATATCAAACGGCCCGAGTGAGCATTTCGAGACTCTGCGAGTGTGTACTGACCTGCAACAGAAAGCAGAGAACAGCGATGTAGATTAGAAATTTGACCACACTGCTTTCTCCTTTTCCTCTTGCTTCTTTTGAAGACTCGGGAAAGCTTGAAATCTTTGCGGGAAAATGTCAACGTCTCAAATGCGGCCTGCACAAATCGTGCTGGCGCACGCGCTGTCAGATGCGGATTACAATTGAGAATATATACAGGGTAAGTCATCTGAACAACTTTGAAAGATAGAAAAAAATGCAAGATAGAAAAAAATGTTAAACACAGAAGTTGTAAGATATTTTTTTCAAGTGAGACGCATCACTCAGCAATAATAGTACGACCTCGAACAGCGTCATCAAGGTCACCTCGAATTTTTTAAATAAAAACACACATTTTTTATTATATCATCTTTTCTGCCAATTAATTTGGACAACTTTTGTCGTGAAACATTTTTTTATCTGCCAAAGATTTTTTGAAACATTCAAGGAGAACGAGATAGATTTTTTTAATATTTGACTTACGACATCTCGGTAACTATTTGTCGGAAGAAAAAGTGATACTAGACTTTTTTACTCTTGCCAAGTTTTCCTTAAATGTCCCAAAAAATATTATGCAAATAAAAAATATTTCAAACAAAAGTTATTGGTAGAAAAAAATATGATAAAAATACAATAAAGAATGGGTTAATAAAATAATACAAAGTTACGAAAAAGTCACTTGATTGAATTTTTTAAATAGAAACCCTCATTTTTTATTACATCATCTTTTTTTACCAATTAATTTGAACAACTTTGGTCCGAAACATTTTTTTATTTATCTAATATTTTCTGAGGTATTTAAGGAAAACTTGGTAACTTTTTCAATATTTAGCTTATCTCGATATCTATTTGTCGGAAGAAAAAGTCGCACTAAACTTTTTTTATTCTATTCGATTTGAAAAAATGCTTTTATACTGTTATAATAGCGCCCTAACTTTTGTTAATTTGATGACCTTCGGAAATTTCAAAATCATTACTAAATTTTTTGTTAATATTTCAAAAAGATATTACCCAAATAAAAAAATGTTTCAGACAAAAGTTGTTCAAATTATTCGGTAGAAAAGGATGATATAACAAAAAATGGAAATTTCTACCTGAAAAACTTAAGATGATCTTCCCGTAACCTTGATGACGCCGTTCAAGGTCACACTAGTATCGCTATCTGATGTGTCATTAAAAACCTTGCAACTTCTGGATTTAACATTTTTTTCTATCTTGCATATTTTCAAAATTAAGGTAGCCTGTCTCAGATGCTCCACTCTGTATACATAAATTAAATTGTACATACATAATTTAACTATATTATTTATTTTATTTATATATACATAAATTAAAATTAAAGTTAAAGAGTCATACACATATCGGGCACATAACCCGGCGAGTTGTGAAGGTCAACATATTCTTCGCGCAATGCAAAATATACGCGTTTGTTATATTTCAATCTCACGACTAAGGAACACGATTGCCTGTCTGTTTCTACATTCACTTTAACGCACCATCGGCGTTCTCATCGGAAGGAAGAGAATCAAACGCTTGTATCGGCATAGAAGCGCGTTCTCCGCGGAAAGAATTTAACGCTTTTTTCGCACGGACGACCGGCGAAGTTTATTCGTATCTCCTCTCTCTTTCTCTCCCTCCTTTCTCCCTGTTTCCCTAGCTTTCTCTCTCTCTCTCTCTCTCTCTCTCTCTCTCTCTCTCTCTCTCTCTCTCTCACGCGTTCCACGGACTTAAGTAATTGGAAGGCCCGGCACCGGTGATTTATCACCGGCTCCTTGACGCACGAAAGGGCGAAGGGTTAGAGGCGGCCGGCTCCTCAAGCGGAGATTGTTGCCGCGTTGACCAATGATCGATCGTTGCGATAGGTGCAGCGCGCGTATGTTGCGCGCAACTGTATGTTGCCGATCCTTACTACAACGGATGGAGTGATTAAGTGATTTCCGCGAGAAGAATCGCGAGACGAATCCGCCGCGATGGCAGCCTATAATGTCGATACACGATGATAGCTCGGTCGGGATAGCTCGACGTGGCGTGAGCACCGAGAGAGAGCCGCTCTTTCTAGTCCTTTCATCGTGCTTTCAGGTCAGAACGACATCAAGAAACTGCGCAGGGAGAACGAGCAGCTACGTAGGGAGATATGGAGCCTCAGGGACGAGTACGACAAGCTCGAGGAGATCCTGAAGAGACAGAAGATCCGCGGCGAAAGCGAAGAGTACGAAGTGGGTATTATTCGCGCGATCCATTCCCAGATTCCTGACTTTCGCGAATACCAAGTCATCGACGTGTGACGTCGATTGACCGGAGCGAACGAGAGGACGTATACTCTTTGCGGGAAAATACGAAGATCTCAGGTGGCCCAAATCGTATTCGTGTCGTCACCCGGCTAGAGATTTATCCCATGTTCTTGATCAGATTATTATTTCATTTGGTTATTAGATAAGATAATATACTATCAGGTCTTGGTAAATGTCATGTAACGTTGCGTGGTATCAGGATTTTATTAAGGACTCATGATCAGGTCCTTATTAAGTTATCTTATTGGATCCTTATCACGTTTTATTTCAGATTAAGGCTCCTGGCTACTCGTCGCGACTATATTAGATTTGTGACGTGAGAAATGACACGCTGAAAATTCTTGCGTGCCATTTCCAAATAAAAAGATATTTGTATGAAGGAGCACTTCAGATCGTGCCTGTGAGCATTCTTGTAAATTCTTGTGGTTCCGAAAACCATCTATTTCCGTGGAATGAGTAAAAACAGCCGTAAAAAATGAACGTGGCAAGTTCACAAGGAATGGTAATGTTAAAGAGAAAAAGATTGCGTGCCACGTTAATTTCACGGCTACTCATTAACTGTCAAGGGAAGAGGATCATTAACTACAAATGGTCCTTATTATAATCTGATAATGCAAGTCACATTAGGTATAATGAACAAGAATCCCGAACCAATCAACTAAAACTTCCCGACTAGAAATTTTGATCAGATACGCTTGATATTGATAAGGACCTAATAGAGTGAATGAAAATATTAATCTTAATTAAGCCCTTATAATGTCCTGGTGACAGTGAGGAAGTTGAGTGAGGAAGACTTTTATAAAGTTATAATGATTGGATCCATATTAAATCCTTCATATAACAACCTTGTGTATCATGTAATAAAGTTCAGTCGATTGGGTCCTTTATTCGTCGTATCTAATGTGACTTGCGCTATCATGTATAGGATATCCGGAATCCTTTGGAAACGAAAAATTGTGAAGATTAATCGGATCAAACTGAGAAGAAAAGTCAAGTACCATTTTGCAAAAATCGCAATAGTTAATAAGTTATTGATGATTGAAAATGACCATATCTAGAGACTCTTTGATAACTTGAAAATTTGTACGTTTATTTGCAAAATAGTAAAGGACTTTTTTGTTCAGAGTGACCTAATTTACAATTATATGACGGCTATTGCGTAGCGACAGGTTCAAGATTCAAGGTTCAAAGTTCAATATACTCATATCTATCGTTAGACACGATAGCCATCATAATTGTAGATTAGGTCATTCTGAATAAAAAAGTTCTTTACCATTTTGCAAATAAGTACTAAAATTTTCAAGTTGTCAATTAAAAGAGCCTCTAGATGCGGTCATTTTCAATCATTAATAACTGACACATTATTTTTCTTCTCAGTTTAATCTGGTTAATCTTCATAATTTTTCGTTTCCAAACACCGGACACCCTGTATATCGTATCAGTCGTCGCGTATCTAACATTGTTACCTTATTCAATGTTTATTTATTCAATGTTAATATGTAATATATAAGTAATGCTCTGCAAACTATAAGAATATATAATATAACCATTGGTCGCAAGAATATTGTCGGAGCCATTGGGGTTGCTACGTGTTGCTCAATTATCAAGGTTAAGCAATATCCGCGGTCAAGACGAGTGGAATGTGACCGCTCGCACCGCTCGGGATTGAAATGCCGGAAAGAATGCACGCGGTTTCTCAGAGTGTGTGTGTTGTATGGCAATCCTTCAGTTCTAATGGTCGCGAGACGTGAGAAAATTGGGGGTTATTTTTTGTATAAACATATACGCATATTGATTGACGTTCCTTGAGTAATTAGTTCGACATTGAAACGATAATGAAATTATTGTCGAAGCTCTATATTGAGTTTTCGTTGTTGATTCGGCGTCGTATAAACCAAATGTTTCTGACTAGGCAGAGGAGTTTTGATCTGAAACAAAACTTGAGAAAGATTCAATAAGGTAATTTAATAAGGACCTGAGTATAAATCCTTAATAAGATCCTGATATCCATGCGTTATATCCACTTACTAGGACTTCATAGTATTATCTTATCCAGACCCCTGATGACCAAATGAGGCTAACCTGATCAGGACCATGGGATAAATTTCTAATCGGTTTATTACATGACACACACTAGGTTGGTACGTTAAAATCCTAATATGGATCCAATTATTATAACCTTAGAGATCTTAAAAATCTTCCTTACTCGATTATCATCAGGCCATTATCTAACCTGATTAGGATTACCCTTCACTCACCCTATTAGGTACTTGCATAATATCGGACGTACCTGATCAAAATTTTTAGCAGATGCAGATTAACATCAGGGATGTAACGAACGCGTAACCCGTTAATGGAATGTAGACGTATTTTTATGTAACGCGAAACACACGTTCTACTTCAATCTTAAAGCAGAGAGACATCCAAGCTTCGACACGATATTTTTAAACTGTAAACTTCATTGTACTCGGCATAGCATAGAATCCCCAAATACACAACTGTGTAAGTTGGAGAGTAAGAGAAAATCCCATTGACCCTTAACTCTTGCCGAGGACCTGTTAATGCTCCACCAAACGGAATTTCATGCGAACGTTACGAAAGATTTGCGATCAGTAACCGATCGGGACGTGTCGGAAATTGCAGGATCGCTCCGAGGAGGATGATGGCCTGCAGTCGGACTTCTCTTGCGAGGAGGACGTGGACGTCGAACGAGAGGAGTACGACGGAGACAACGACAAGACGGCCAAAGGCTTTAACCAGGAGGAGCAGCTGGAGAACGCTGAGAACCAGAAGATTTCCTTCGAGAAGATGAGCAGCAGTCTGCATCGGCTGCACGTGGAGTTCGACGATCTGTCGGTCGTCGACGAGGAGGAGGAGCTGAAGAAGGACAAGGAAAGGAAGGAGACGACCCCGTCGCTGGAGGAGCAGAGAAGCGACGGTGGCCGGCACCTACCACCGCCGTTCTCTGGCCCCCGCCAACTTCACGATAACATCCCGTTTTATCCGGCCACGTACGAGCCGACGAGTGCTTTCAGCGAAACCAGTTATTACACCGAATGTCCGTTCGAGTTCCCGAATACAATTGATTTAATGCTACCCACGGACACGCTGCTGCCTTCGCCCTGCTCAGGATTACAGTCCGACCCATTGGTCCCGCTGGCCAGCTTAGACTCCAGATCGTTGGATCAAGTGGCCGAGCAGATGCTACCTCGAATCCACGTCCCGCCCGTCGGTTGGCAGAACGATGTGGTTCCTCCTCCGAGACAGCCGCCGGCCTACTCCGGCGCGAACGTCATTCCCGACGCAACGACGAAGATGCAAACGACGGGCATGCCGGAGTCGAAGATGACGGTTTCGCCTGATGTTTACGGCTTCCTCAGGCGGAGAAACGCAAGGCAACTCACGAGGATGCCGGATGCGTCGACTCTGGAAGACTCTCAAGCGTGGTTTTCGAGTCGCGAGGAAGCGGTCGCTCGAGACGCCTGGGACGTCGGCGAGGACTTCACCGACGGCAAGGATGCGTCGGCTGAGCTCCGAAAGACCGAGGAGGTCGCAACGTCTACCGCGCCGGAGAGACCGAAGCACTTTTTCGCGCCGTTGCCCAGCAAACTGAAGAGACAAGAAGAGGAATCACCGACCGCGAGTCACTTCGGGACCGGGACCAGCTCGAGCAGCGGTAAGACGGTCTCCACCGTCGTCTCCCGCGTCAACCCTTTCGTAGGGCAGCAGAAAGGCTCGGCGGACATTTACGTGAACGGCGCGGTGGCCTACGACGGCGAGAACGTTTCGAAGGAGCGAGACGAGTCGAGGACGTTCTTCAGCACTGACGACCTGCTACTCGCGGAGCACAGCAGAACCGCCGCTGTGCACGCGAGCGGCGGTCAGCTGACGAAATCGGTGTCCTGTCAAGACCTCTCGAGCGAGTGTCCAGGTATGGCGCTGCAGCAATCGAAGCTGAGCCACGCGGCCGACGGCAAGCCCCAGATGCTCACAAAGAGCGACAACACACTGGACAACATAACGAGCGGCTCTTCCCCCGGCCGGCCGTACAAGAGTCACCTGAACGTGACCCTGAGGGTACCTCGAATGGAGCAAGCGCAGAGCCCTGAAACGCCGGAGATCCCAAACTTGCCGTCGATAGACTACCGTCTCTTCAGGAATCCGTTCCTGAGGAACCTGGACAAGCTCTGGCCGAGCTACCGGCTAGAGTCGAGTCCGCCGGCGACCAAGCCGCTGTCCGTTCAAGTGAACGACGACGCTTATCAGTACAACCTGCCGACTTACGGACGCGCTGTGCATCTAGACGAGAGCTTTCGCGCCGCGCAGTTGCCTGACAAGAATCGTCTGCTGATCCCTAGCGACCAAGTGCTGGGCAGTAAGCAGGACATTCAAATAACCTCTTTCGAGAGACCGAGCCCTTGTACCCTGATACCTTCCGCCGCGTCGTACGATCTGTCGACGTTGCGGAGGCTGAACGCGAATCGATACCTCCAGAGTCAGAATTCGTATCAGAACGTGCCGTCGTTCGTGGCGTCGTCGCGTACTGGTGGGCAGTTTTATCCGCAAAGGCCGGGAGGAATAGTGGGGTACTACGACCAACTTGCGATCAAGATACCAGCGCAGACGCAGACGTCGATCGACGGCGACTCGCATCACGAGGACGAGCATCCGGACGAGGAGACGACGAGCGCGCCGAACTCGCCGAGTGGACAGAGACGGAAGAGGGTCATGAGTCGGAGGGACAAGGCTACGTTGAAGGATCAACGGCCGCTATCGCCGGCGGCGCAACGGAGACTGAGGAAGCAGAGCAGTGTCACATCTACGGACATCCCCGACTCGCCGGACAAAATGGCGCGAAAGAGGCCGAGGAAGCTGAGCACGACGACCACGTCGGACGTGCAGGAAGACAAAAACGAGAGCCGTTCGTCGTCCTCGGGCCAGGACTCGCCGCGCAAGGACCAGAACAGGCGGGTGTCGGTTTATATTAATTCCAAGAGACGATCGTCGCAAACGTCTCTCAAGACCTCGCGGAGCGGCAGCGTGGACGCGACTAAGGACAAATACGCGGACGCCGCCGGTGTACCGAGTTCGGAACGTGAGAGAACCAACTCGATCAGCAGCCGGGAAATCGCCGGCGTGAAAGCTCGCAAGACGAGTACCAGTAGCGGTAATGTGCCGTGGTGCGCGTGTTGGGGAAATGGTTGCATTTAATCACAGCTGTGTAGTCAGTCCCGTTCAGGGACGTGACTAGAGAAGCACAGGCTGCGCGGAAGGACCAACAAGGAGAGTGATACAACTGTCCCTCACCGATTTGAATGGGCTTCGGATATATTGTAGAGCATCAAAAACTAAGGGACAAGATTTCTCTACAATTACGCTATGCTTCACGACTGCTTGTACATATTTTCTTATGCTACAATTAATCGTAATGATATGATATACAATGTATTACACGAAATAAAAATGCTTGATAAAAACGTGAACAATTGAACAATTTGCATATATAACAGTAGCAAATGTGTGCGCAGCATCGCTATTTGTACAAAAGCTCCAAATGTATATTTTCTTCATTTAATGTGTAAAATTTATGTTCACTACAATCTGAAAGGTATGTCGATTAAAATGATTAAAAAAGTATTTCATGCAATGCACGTGAAATAATGAAACACATTATCATCGGCCTAATTAGAAAACCTCCTAACTTCAATTTTTGACAAAATTGAGACACTCATTTTGTTCGATTTATCTCGTCGAATTTGATCGAATAAAATGAGTCTCAATTTTGTCAAAAATTGGAATTAAGAGGTTTTGTAATTAGGCCGACGTTATGTTACCTCTGCAAGCATGTAGTGTGACAATAAAATATATTTTATTAATTGCTGAATGAGACATAACGAAGGGCTTAACAAAAATTATGGAGTAATAATTTGTAGGATAGAGAGGAACAATACAATACAATAAATTATAGAAGAATAACACGTTATTATATATATTTCACAATATTAATAAAAAAATCAATACAGTGTTTGCATATAAACGAAAAATAAATGTTACATTTATGGCACATATTCGTTGCAAAGGTGGTGATCATGAAAAAAAAATCTGTGATACAAAGCGATTTTTTGCACTAAGAGCAAATATTTATGGCAGTTTCGCCACAAATATCGAATTTTATTTTAGAATCATTTTGGAAACAAAACTCAACCGGTGTTTCGAATTCGCATAGCCTACTCTGTAAATATCCACTTTTAAACCACGCATATTTATAAATTGTGAAACCTGGATGACGAGAATTGATGGTGCGTTAATGACTGCAGTTTTAAAATATTGTTTCTAACATGAAGATCAATTGCAAGGTCTAATAGCATTACTATCTAATATCAGAAAAATGTTTAATAAAATTTTTCCATAATCGAAAGCCATATACATCTAATGATTGTATTTTTCCCGTTGTACCGGCCGGAATGGTTAGGGAAACAATATCTGATGCAAAATCCGATCCAGTTTCCTGAATTACATTAGGACAATGTCCACTCCATGAATCTAATAATACGGATTGTGACCCGACATTCGAAAAAAATATTTCTCTCAACCAGATTTTCATATAATCTGATGTCAATTTACCTGATTTGAAAGCCATTATAAAAATATTAGGAGCATTGAATAAAATTTCCTGTACTCGTGGACCGAATGTTCCTGTTAGTTCTTTTAATACAATTAACAAAGGCGACAATAATCTACCATCAGCGGAAATAGTCGGCTGTATGGTATAACTATGCGTGGTTGCTGATACAGATTGCACTGCGGATTCTATTTTCTTTGTACCTTTTTATGCTACGGTACAACCGGTGTGAAGTTCTAATTGGAACCCACTCTGATCTGAATTGTAGATATTTTCCACCCCGTATCGATTAATATAATATTTGACATTTATAATAAATGTATCGTATTTATTTTTTAACTCTGATTTGAATAACAAGGATTTTTTCGTGACAAATTTGGTTATTTTCCTAGACACAATATTATGTTTCTTTTTGAATCTTTGTACCCACCTACGTGATGCTATGAATCCAGGCACATTTTCCTCTTCTTGCGCTCCATTAGCCCATCGAGCAATGTTAATATCATGAATAATGACTCCTTTTTCAAGTGTTTCAGCGAAACGGTTTAGTGTACATTCAGAAATTGTTTTTAATTTTTCATTTCTGCTACCAACTGCATTGATATAGTCCTCCCACTGTCGTAATTGTCGAATTAATGTAACTTTTTTGTACCTTCGTCTAACTCCTTCAATCGTTCTTGGGCTTATTTTACCGTTCTTATTTACCGTCCAGAATTCCACAGCTTTCCTTTTATAGTCACTTGATATTTCTGCTTCAACATGAATACAAATAACTTCTTCTGGAAGATAATCCTCATCTTCATCATGCTCCAACAAATCAACTCTTTCCGCCTGTGGGATATCATTTGTATCATAGAAATCAAGTGTTCTTTCCTCTTCTATTAGAAAGTCCATTTTATTTTCCATGTCTGTGAGCATATTTATAATCTTCTTCTTCACTTCCATTTCTTCCGAAATTACCGGAGTTTATAGAAGGTTACGAGCAGTGAATGTTGCGTATAGCAACAGTATAACATTCCATGGGTTAAATGGAATCATTCTACAAGATATTAAAATTTAACTATTGTTTAATGCTACTCCGGTCTTCCGTATATTATAATATTAATAACTCCACAAAGTGTATAATAATCTAAATAACATAAATATGAAGAGTGACAAGCGTAAGACAACAATGCAATACAATAAATACTTACATAATTTCACAAAATTATAGTGTATAACACAGTTCTTTACACTATGAACTCCAGTAAGCGAAATTTGGCCAAGTCCTGAGCGAAATTTTTTTTTAGAGTTCTCAGGAGTTCTGAGGGCAGTTTTGGATAACATTCTAAGAGTTCTAAAAGAAATTATAATGGTCGAAAGCGATCCGACCAGTAATTAAAAAGTTATTTGACGTCAAACGTCTGTTACGGTAATACTGTTAGTAATTATTTTTTAAATAATTTTGTGAATTTAATTTTTTTTTATATCAGGAACTCTAGAACTCATCGAAAGAAATCAAATAGGCCATTCAGAACTATTCGAGCTTGATGTTCAATTTTTCGAAATTTTTAATTTTTTGGAAAAAAATCAGAATATCTTTTCATCTATCAGAAACTCTAATATTTGTCAAAAGACATCGAATGAGCTACTCAGAACTATTTGATCTTGAAGTCGGGTGTGAAGTTAGCACCCCATTTTTTAATTGCTATTTTAGTACTGTTAATCGCCGGAACTCTTTTTATTAATATAAAAGAACTCTTATACTCTTCAAAAGGAAGCTAGAACTCTAATCAGAACTATCGAGAACTAAAGTTGGGTTGCTAACTTCACATACCCCGTTTTGCTATTATTACTGTTAAATGTCTCTTATTACATACCATTATTAATTGTCATTTTATTTTTAGTTGGAAGATGCTACAAATTGTTTAATACGTTTGCTACGTTCTCCGCATCTCTACTACAATTTGCTAGGTATATTTACACAAGTTAAACTATGACAAAATTCTTTTTTCGTTTTCGTATGAACATTAACATTATTAAACCATCTTTTCTCGTCATTTTAATCAAATTCCTGTACAAACACCGATTATCTCTAACGTTTTGTATTACATATTGTAATGCAAACTTACACATGTCTGGGCATAATGAGATTATACCATTATGTTCTTAAAACATTAAGTTATATTATTTCTGATCGTATGCTTGTTTTATTTTATATAATGAATTATATATATTTTATATATATTATATATATTTTATATAATGAATACGAAATATAAAAACTGGACGCTAGCCAGCTGAAAGCTAGAAGCTTGGCGTTTCAAATTTTACGGGATAATTTTTTTGTTAGCAATTTATTTCTGTCAAATTAATGACCGAATACGTTTTTATACGTATTGATTCAATAATTTTTATTAATATTATATAAAACATTTTTTAGTTCAGTTATATGCGCTTTACGATTGTCGTTTAAATTTTACAGGCCTCTAATTGTATATATAATTGTCAATCTCAAATTTTACAATATATTATTAAATTATATTATGCGCTAAATAGGTGAAATCATATTTGATAATATTTAAGCGATAATATAAAATTGATTCACACACATACATAATAATGTCTTACATAAACATGTTAGTATATCTAGTTTATATTTCTTTAATTTTGTGTTATATTATCAAAATATTCAATGCACTTCATGCACAACGCGCTTGCCCTTTTTTATTCACTTTGACTTTTCTGTAAAATTGCAGTATAAACATAAATTTCATAAATATGTGATTCAGGAAACAAATGAGAATAAAAAGACAATTGAGCTAGTACGCTGTTAGTCGTGCGTCAATTATTTACTTTTAATAATCATAGTTAAAATCTACAAATATCCATACGTATGTTCCAGTCGTAATTTTTCGACCTTTTTCAATAGTAAAATATAAAAATTTTAATTCGTGACATTTGTGTGATAATTCATTCGGGAATCGCGGAGATAACATATTTTATAATTATATCGTGCATATATGTAAGTTTGTGTTATTTCGAACTTGTCTGTGTAGAGTCCTTATTTGTAACAATGAAGGATTTATAAAATATTTCGTCAGCGAATCCGGTCAACGAAAGTTGACGAGTTTTCATGACTAGATAAACGTTATTCACCAACAGTAAACGCCGAAGCCCCGCTATTTGCAAGTATTATATGTGAAAAGTCAAAACCCTACAGCGCCCAATGGCCTCGATAACAAACGTGATTCACCTGTAGGTTAAACAAAAATAAGGAGCAACGCAGATTCGCCAAGAAAAACAACTTCAACAAAGTAATCGTCCACCAACCGAGTCAAACACAGACAATCACAATGAAATTGAGCACGTTCAATAATAAACAATAACTATTATTCGCGTGCGATAAAAGATATAATAAACATTGACTATTATTAGCGCGCGTCCACGTTTAAAAATCAAGGACGAGTGACGAGTACCAGACGGCAGAAAGACTTAAAATATATCTCGAAAACTCTGTTTGTAAACAGGATGGTACATTATAATCTATCGAGTATTTTGATGATGGATAGATAATTCAGAAAATATACATTTGAAATTTCTGTACAAATAGCGCGCCCCACACGCATTTGCTACGTTGTTATATATGTGATTTATCTGTGCTCACATGTTTATTTTGTGTGAAGGACTGTTCTCACGATGCTCGATTGTGTTAATAATTTTCTATACGCTAACTTTTATGAAGTTGCATATGGAACATTATATGACAACGTTCATGATTTTGAATTGTTAAGGCCATCACACACAAACGAACTTAAGCAATAAGACGTAAGTAGTAAACAAATCGACCAATCACAATCGAAATTTAAGGACGCCATTTTAAAACTTACGAGAATAATTGATTGTGATTGGTTAGTTTCTTTACTGCTTACGTCTTACTGCTTACGTTCATTTGTGTGTGATGGCCTTTAGTGTTATTGTTTTTGTCGAAATCATGAAAGTTGCCATACAGAGCTCCGTGCACAACTTCATAAGTTAGCATATAGAAAATCATTAACACAATCGAGCATCGTGAGACTACGCCTTAATATGTTGTACATCATATCATTACGATTAATTATAGCATAAGAAAATATGCACAAGCAGTCGTGAAGCATAGTGCAATTGCAGAGAAATATCACAGCGTACCTACCTACAGTATCTATTATCTATTCGGGCAGCACGGCACATATATCATGAAGATTTTTCATTGCGTTTTGTCCAAAATATTAAATACCATCTTCTAATATTATATATGGATGGATTTGGTATTTAATGCTCTACAATTTTTGTCCTTACAAAAACTTAAAAATTTTGCCAGAATA